AAATGATAGCCGCAACAGAGAAATACAGGCAGCCACAATGGTCATCGTTGAATTGCGAGGCCACAAAAAGTCATTGCGTTAAAGCAAGACCACATCAAGTCATCGTTGACAAACGAGACCAACAAAGCGCATCACACAAAGGCGAAGACCAATTTAACCAAAACAAAAAACGCCACCACGATGCACAAAGACGAGTGGACAACTAGACTACACCGAAAAAAGGTCTGTTGTTCAACTCATTGCTAAACAAACTACTCCGAGAAAGAAGCCACAAGGCAGCACCTTCCGATGGTATGATGAGCCAATCCTGATAAAGGCCATTGCACATATTTGGATTAGGGGTGGGCACGGGTCAGGCAGGGCCCAAAATTGAAGGAACCGGACCAGACCTACTTAAAAATAAAACGGGGCAGGGCGAGGCGGGTTTTGGATTTTTCAAAATGGGATCCGGACCTAACCCAGACTGTTGAAATGGGTCGGTTCCTACGGGTCCCCACGGGTCCAAATCTTCACTCATGCTTATCTAGTTTTCGTTATCCTCTTCGTTTTCCCTCCCCAGCATCTCCGCCGACGCCTTTACCTTCCCACGAAAACCCACCCTGTTTCCCACCATTATTACCTCCCTTGCTACTAGGCCTTTTCCTTGATCCTCCTCCTCTCTCTGTTGCCAGCTCAGTACCCCCAACAACCCCGCCTTTGCTCATCCTTGCCTCCCCGTCACCGTCGCGACTCCTCCAACACACCATCCACAGCAGAACCGAGTAGATTACGACCAGATGTGCAACCCTTTTCCCACCATGTCCATCATACACCCCAAAAAATGCCTATAGATTTGCACCAAAAACAAAATCAATTAAAACATAAAAAGAAAGTAATACAAAAAAATAAAATTACAGCAAAACCCATAAATGATTAGAGCAAATTTTTTTACTTTCTTTGATTTCTGGCCTTGTAAGCAAGAAACAATCTTGTGGGTATCTTCCAAAAACTTCTTCTTGCCTTTGGAGACGGAGACCCCAACTTCAATCCTGCCGAAGCATAGGGTTCTGTTTTGCTGGGTGAAATCCTAGAGCTTCTGCGACGGTGATGGGGTGGTGATAGTCGCGACGGCGATGATAGGTGACGATGGTGGTGAATCAATGGTGGTTTGCGAGGAGAGATAGAAGTGGGAATAGAAAGAGGACGACTAGGTCACTCGGATTCGATAAACAAATCTCATCCAGATTGCAGATTCCATTCGTTCCTTTTCAGAAACGAGCTGGGCCAGGGGCCTGTGCAAAAATCAAGAGATGGAAGCATCACAACATTGGAAAATGAGGATGGAAATGGCTTCAACCCACCAAACAACCCTAATCCAAACCCAAGCTCTGAATTAGACCTAAATCAAAAGAATACCTTGAGAAGGGCATAACTCGGATCTGGGAAGAAGACAGGAAAATACGGGACAACCGTGCATAAAAAGGTGGAAGAGAAGAAAACGGGGATAGAGGAAGCTAATAGAGGTGGAGTGGTTGGCACAGAGAAGGGGGACAAAGTGAAACAGAAAGAACAGAGGCGTGGGCGAGTGGGCAGCACGGGGGAGGGAGTGAAAACACGAGGGAAGGGGGTGGAAGAGGAAGGGATGAAAAGCTAGGAAAAGAAAATGAGAGGCTGCCACTGGCCCCCAGCCATAGCTAGAGACCGGCGGCGATGAGGGTAAACGACTAGGGTTTGGTTGGGAGATAGATAGAGCTTTTAGGGTAGACGGCTAGGGACATATGACTTGTTGATCCTTACATACGTCGTTGACATCTAGTCATCTGGTCACGATGTAGCAAAAATAGTTTTGTTGGGGCTCTGCCCCTTGTATCGACGTACACCATCCGTGCACAATAGACACCGTAGGCCTAAGCAACTCTTATAAGAGGAATATAGAAAGACTAAATTCGTAGACTAAATTTGTAAATCAAATGATGTGTCATCGGTAAGAAATAAACATGTTAAATCAACATTTGTAATATCCAATCATGAACTTTTATGTCATTTGATTTTATAAAATTTGATTTACAAATGTTGTCTCCCTAGTATTACTCTTCTTGTAACCAAATGTTTGGTTTACTCTTCATGCAAACATTAAATAATATCCCAAAGACAAAGAGCCTTTGCGATGTAAATTGTAGAAATGGTCTCTCAACTTTAACCCAATTGGAGTAATGGTCCCTTAACTAAAAATCTATGATTGTTGGTCTTGTAACTCATCAAAACGTGCATTAAAGATCATTTTCATCAACTCCATAAGATATCCGTCAAAATTAGTCTTTGTTGGAAGGACCATTGCTACAATTGGGTTAAAGTTGAAGGACCATTACTCCAATTACTTTAAAGTTGAAGGACCATTTCAACCAATTGGGTTAAAGTTAAGGGACCATTACGACAATTTTTCTCATTTAGTTTTCCATAATTTGCCCCTTGATTTAACCTCATGTGCTTGACACATGACTCATTTTGATGGAAGTTCAAACGAAGTTGATGAAAATGACCATAACTGCACATTTTTATGATTTAAGGGACCGATGATCATGGTTTTTAGTTACGAGATCATTAGTCCAATCAGGTTAAAGTTGAAAGATCATTTCTACAATTTCTTCTAATTCTTAGGTACTATGGAATTATAATTCAAAAACCTTTTTGATGACCTTAACCTTAGTTAACACGTCTCACTAAATTTGGCATTTTAGCCAAAATGGTCATTGAGATTTGTATATCACTTTGGTCCCTGAGATTGAAATCAATAGAAATGGTCCCTGAGATTGTCCACCATCCATTATTTTGGTCCTTCCGTTAAAAGCTCTGTTAAGTGTCTCGTAGCTCTTGGTCGAAAGTTTAGGTAATTTTCAAAACTTCGTAACTCAATTGTTTCTTAACCAAATTCGACCCATAATATATCAAAATGAAGATAGGAAAGTGTAGAACAAGATTATCCCTACTTGGAAGCCCAATGGTTTCCGGAGATGGCTGGAAAATAGCCTAAAAGTTGACTGGTTCGCGGGAAAACTGGAAAACTCGTCTGAAACTGGGTAAACTTTAAACGTTCATAACTTCTTCAATACTCAACAAAATCAAGTGATTCAAAATGAAAATCATACGTCTCGACGAGATGAAGAGAATGGTATCTTTCTCGATGCTAAATCGTCATGGTTTGGCTGGAAAACAGCTAGAAAGTGGCAGTCTTGGTCTCGAGTTAGCCATTTTCCGGCCAAACCACAAAGAATTATCCCTCAAGAAAGGTACCATTCTCTTCGTCTCGTTGAGAAGTATGATTTTCATTTTTGAATCACTTGATTTCGTTAAGTATTGAAGAAGTTATGAACGTTTAAAGTTTACCCAGTTTCCACCGAGTTTTCTAGTTTTCCTGCGAACTAGTAACCTTTCAGGCTATTTTCTGGCCATCATCAGCAACTATTGGGCTTCTAAATAGGTATAATCTTGTTCTACAGTTTCCTATCTTCATTTTGATATATCACAGGTCGAAGTTGGTTAAGAAACGATTGAGTTACGAAACTTTGAAAATTGCCCAAACTTCTGGCCAAGAGCTCCTAGACACTTAACGAAGTTTTTAACGGAATGACTAAAATAATGGATGGTGGACAATCTGAGGGACCATTTCTATTGATTTTCAATCTCAGGGACCAAAATGATGTGTTATACAAATCTCAGGGACCATTTTGGCTAAAAAGCCCACTAAATTTTGATGGCTGTGGCTTTCTAAATTGCAGAGCGTAGGCCAAGCCCAAGAGACTTCCCTGTTGGATTAAAACTAGGACAAGCCCAGGTTGTAGGAGGATGGGATCTATTTTTTGGTTCAACTGATAGGACGGGGTACTTTGTTGAAGCCCGTTTGTAAAAGCATCACAACTACTTTAAGAAAAAAGCACTTTTGCTATAAGCATAACGAAAGTTTCTGAGTAAACTGTCGTTTGACTCTTGAATTATTACTCCAATTAAAATTGACTAGCTAAACTATTTTGTTTAGTAAATTAATCATTTGAATTATTTCAAATTAGCCCATTAACCCCTTATAGTCAAATTCAATGAAATTTCATCTACTTTGCCGCGCAAATATTGGCACAACTTTACTTTCAAGAGTGAATCACGTGCTGAATGCCAGCAGTTGACAGCAAAGCGGATGAAATTTCATCTAATCTCGGTGAGGGGTTAGTTGGCTAATTGTAAATGGTTCAAGAGTTAATTTACCAAAAAAAAAGTTCAGAAGGTCAATTTCAATAGGATAATAATTCGAAGAGTGAAACGACCAATTTCTCATTTTTCGTACCACTGGTACGTACCCGTTGAATAAAAAACCTAAAGGCCAAAAAATGGTGACTTAGGTATCTAGTGATCCCTTTAAACAATTTTTTAGGTAACCTATGGTACATACTAATCATATTTTAAACAAAAAATATATATAAATGAAAATAGTAATACTAAAATTCTAATTCTAACTTTATATTTAATTGTCATTGTGTCTGTTTATTATTTTTTCAGACTATTATCAGAGTATAAATATGAATTTTTGTTGTATAGTTTGATTTTTAAAGTGTTTCACATTAATATTATCAGATCGAAGCTCCAAATTCAAAGGAGGGAACTTCTATTGCTTTTGGTCGAAATCTTCACCAAAACCAATTTAACGTTGGAAAGACATGGAGTTTCGTTTTGGAACAAAAGTGACAAACAACAACGTACGCATAACCAATCAGAATCCAGTTCTCTTCCAGATGCCAAATCCTAACAAAATTACCAACCTACCCTTTCTCCTCGTCCGTCCAGACTCCAAACTCCAAACTCCGAGGACTCATCCGTCAATTCAAACTTAAACCCCAATCAGACCACTTCCCGTCTCTTAGGGCAGGAATCCCATGCTTTTCGGGACAAAAACCCAACTGTCCTGAAAGCTTTCCCCTCTCAGAAGAACCGCCATCGTGTGGGTGCACGATTCTTAACGTACACTCATCTCTTCGTCTTCCCCAGATCCCACCACTGCCTTTCTCTGCTTAACACGATTGCTTTTCTCACCCCCATGATTGCTCCGTGCACACAGTTCCGTGAACCCGCCTGTAACTCCACCGCATTTGCCCGATGAAGGTCCCTGCCACCACCACTGCTTCTTCCATGACCATATCTAATTGGGGTTTTGTGTTTTCGATTGTTGTCTGCTTTTTCGCATCTGGGTCGCTCGCAATCGAGAATTTCCACCAGGCGTAAGTGATTTCTGTGATGCAAGTTCTGTTTTTTTGGATTTAAAGTTAGGTGCTTTTTTTTTTTTTTTTTTTTGCTGGTGGGAGAAACCTGGTTCCAATGGGGTCAGCTCGATGGCTTTTGACTTTTTTGGATAGTTGGAGTAGAATTTTGATCATGGTGAACAATATTGCAATGCAGTTGTTATGCTTAGTGAATAAATTTGGAAACTTTTGTTTTAGATCTGAGAGTACATTTGGTGATTCTAAATACAAGTTTCAGAAACATGAGGAAGTTGGAAAAGTTCTTCCAAAATACTGAAAAGTTGGGAACTTTTAGCTGATTTATGTCGTTTAGTGTTTTGTTTACGGCATGAAGTATGTGAATCTGCTTCATATGAACAGTGTGCTTCTTTTTTTAAATTTTTTGTGAGCCAATTGATAGTCACCAATTTTGGATATGATTGTAACGTGCTCTGGATTGTGAAGGTTAAATATTGTTTTGCTCTCGTAGTAGGTAGGATGTTCCTAATGACTAATGAGAGACTATAACGAGGAAAATGAACATCATAAGAAACTATGCTCCCTGCCTCAATTGTGCGGTGCTGTGATTTTTCGCATCCTATTTTGAAAACCTTGTCGACCCCTGAGTCACTTTATGGCACCGTAATTTTGAGATTACTTGCTGCCTAACCGTAGTCGCTGTTTTTCTGCCAATGTTATCTACTTCGTATTTGGCTAATGTTTGTGTAATATTGCACATACAGATTTCCTATTGTGGAACCTGATCCTGGTCATACAAAACTTCGTCTTTCAAGGGAAGGGTTGGAGGCCATTGAAAGAATAACAAATCCAATTGCAGCTGTTGCCGTAAGACTTAAACCTGTTCTCCTTAGCATCTATAATAGTTGCAATTGATCTTCCTTAGCATCTATTACGTAATGGTAAAAGATTATACAGTGATCTTTTAATTTTGAAAATCTTACCGAACTTTGGATATTTAGTTTTAGCTAGAGTTGAATGACTCACTGTTGCAGAGGTGTAGTAGTATCATGTAGGCTACAGGGCAGTAGTTTTCAGTCTCCATGCATACAAATATGACTACAGATTACGATTAAAGTTATTGTCTTACTTTTCCCTCGGTAAAGCAAACTTTCTTTTCTTCTGTGTACATCTTGATTCGATTCAAATGGTTGTCTTCTTAGGTAATTGGACCATACCGCTCGGGAAAATCTTTTTTGCTCAATCAACTGCTATCCCTTTCTTGTTATGAAGGTGTAGTCTTTACTCCTATTAGTTATAAAACTCTTGCCTTCTCATTGTGGATCTTGCTTGATTAATCTTTATGCATTGGTTGTTGGGTTTGAACAATATAACAACCATTAAGTTTTAATTTTTAAACGCCTTCCCCACAGGGTTTGGTGTTGGACATATGCGTGACACAAAGACAAAAGGTAAATCTAGATGCAACCTTGATATCGTGGATGTGCATTATTGTTTCTTGAGAGATATATTTACGGTGGCTATTTGCCTCTTACAGGGATTTGGGTATGGGGAACCCCAATAGAATTGGATATTGATGGAGTGAAAACTTCAGTTTTTTACCTTGATACTGAGGGATTTGAAAGTGTTGGGAAGTCAAACGTATATGATGACCGGTAATCTTCAAGTCATCATGTAATCTTCAATTTTCCTTTGATGGTCATTCAAGTTTTGTATATTCTGCTGGGTTTCTGAGTATGCTTTTGCAGAATTTTTGCTCTGGCAACTGTTATGAGTTCTGTCCTTGTTTATAACCTGGCTGAGACGGTGAGTTGTACAATGTGTGGCGTCTTAGAAGCATGTACTAGTTCTCCTTGGTCCATTATTGTTCAAGCCCAGTTTGCCTTATATGATTTATCTCTTTGGTTGTCATGCTGTAGATCCGTGAAGCTGACATTGCCCGGTTGTCTTTTGCTGTTGAGCTTGCTGAAGAATTTTATGGAAGGTCCACAGTTTCTTTTATTCCTTCTTGTTATTGTATTTAATTTGTTCCCTCTATTATCAAAACTGACATGTTTGCTCTTGGTTGCAAATTTCATGTGGCAAATAGAGTGAAGGTAAGTTCCAATCCCTTAAATCATTGTTCCTCGCTTGTAATATCTTGCAATAATTTACACGGGAATAGTCGGATTGTTTTGTAGGGACAAGATGTTGCCTTTGAACCTGCAAAACTATTGTGGCTTATCCAGCGTGATTTTTTACGTAAGTTTGAGAAATGCCTATAACATGTTTGTTCAAGTTAAATATGAGCAACATAGAAGTTACAATGACAGTCTACCAAGATTTGTTTTTTCACCTATCCACCCTTTTTTTCAAGCTTCCAGCAGAAAGCTCATATATTGACATTCTGGTGTTTGTTCTGCAGAAGGGAAATCTGTGCAAGAAATGGTTCGTGAAGCTCTCCTTCACGTCCCTAACAAGGATGGTTAGTGTTTTTTCCCTCCCTCTATGCTTTATTCATAAAAGCACAAGTTATTTATTTCTTTATTTGTTTCCATGGATTTAATAGTGGGTTCTTTGTGACATTGCAGGCAACAAAAATATTGATATGGTATTTTTCACCCTTATATTATCGCTTGCCGCTGAGATATTGCTGTTCACGGATTGAAAGTGAACCCTTTTTGTGTCTTTATCAGGTCAACCAGATCCGAGATTCTTTGGCTATTATGGGTGATAATAGCACAGCCTTCAGTTTACCACAAGTATGGGTTTTCCTATTTTCAGCTGTTTTTGCATTCATTTTCTTGGTTTTATGTTTTAGTTGGGTGATTGTTCAATAAAGCTTCTCAGCATTACACATTTACAGCAAATCCCTAGATTTTTTTGTTAAAAATGGACAAGACATTGTGTCGAGTTTCCTTGATGTTGGCGTGTTTTGGACAAGCTTTATTTTTATCGTGTGCAATAGTTGATGATTTCTTAGTTGCTATGCATGCTACATGGTCATCTTAACTTTTATTAAGTCACTTGAGCTCACTGTTGATAAAGTAAGCGTCGTTTTTAACCCATACAAAATAATCCATAATATTGTAATATTGTGCATGTACTTTCTTTTATGTTTCCAAGGGTAGGGAAAACAAAAATTGAAGTTTTGGATTCTGAGTTGTTTTCAATTGCCCTAAGGCTTGTGAGATGGAAGATATTTATCTTGGCACACCTGCACCCTACCTATTCATTGCATTTAGATATTCCGTGCTCTGGGAATACTATATTTTGTATCGGGAAAGTTTTTATGATTACAGAAATTTATAATTCAAGTTATTGCTATCACTGCATCACTCATGTGATAGGGAGAGGTAAATGTGAAACATGGTTGACTAGGATTGCTATTCCAATCAATTTAAACTTCCCTTTCCTGTAGATATATTTTCTATTTGTTTGTCAAGTGTTTTGATTCTGTAGAGATTCCAAACTTTTCAAACAGCCTCACCTTGACCGAACGAAACTCTGCGACATGAAGGATGGTGAGCTCGACCCATTGTATGTTAAGAAAAAGGAACAACTAAAACAGCTTGTTTCTAGTATCATCCGTCCAAAGATTGTGCAGGGAAGAACTCTAAGTGGAAAGGAGTTTGTATCTTTTCTGGAGCAGGTACCTGTTATATTGTAACGTTGGTTGGTTAAAATCAGCTACGATAGGAGAATCATTAAGTTTCATTAAAGTTTATGTTGTGTGGCATTCCATCTATTAGGAATTGAAGACAAGAAAAATAAGGGATCCTACCTACATTTGTTCTTTTAGTTTATTTGTGTGTGTTTTTATTATTTCCTCTTATCAGATTCTTGAAGCGTTGAACAAGGGGGAGATTCCATCAACAGGCTCTCTGGTGGAGGTTTTCAACAAGGGTATTCTTGAGAGATGCTTAAAGCTGTACCATGAAAGGATGGAAAAACTCAGTTTACCACTCGTAGAGCAATCTGTGCAAGACTACCATGAAAGGTCCATGGAGGAAGTGATGAAACTTTTTGAGGAGCAACATTTTGGCCGTCACCATGCAAAGAAGTCAGTCGAGCAACTACAAGAAGAAGTAGACAAGGTATATCCACTTTGTAATAATAGCTCTATACCCCTTTCCTCGTCACGTTTTACGTATTTTGTTGGCACCCTCACTTCCACCAGCTACGCAACCTGCAATTTTTTTAACATGACTTTGCTGCTTAAACTCTGGGATTTGTTTAGGTGTTTAAGAATGTGGTCATGGCAAACGAATATCAATCTTCAAAGCTCTGTGAGGCATTGTATACCAGATGTGAGGATAAAATGGACCAACTTCAAGTTCTCAGGCTTCCTTCCATGGCAAAATTCAACGCAGGTTTCCTGCAGTGCAACCAAAGTTTTGAGCAAAAGTGTATTGGACCTGCAAAAGCAAACTATGAGGTTCGCATGATGAAGGTCAGGCATACCTTGTGTCCTCCATTTTTTCCCCTCGTCTTCATTTTTTGCCGTTGGGTGCAAAAGCTCATTTATACGATCTATATTATTTGATTCGCAGATGTTGGGGAAGTCACGTTCTCTATTTATAAAAGAATACAATCACCGGCTCTTCAATTGGTTGGTCGCCTTCTCCCTTGTAATGGTGGTTGTTGGCCGGTTCATCATAAAGTTTATATTGATAGAAATCGGGGCCTGGATCCTCTTCATCTTCTTAGAGACATACACGAGGATGTTTTGGTCTGCAGAGTCTCTTTACTACAACTCCGTTTGGCATGTAATAGTATCCACTTGGGAAACACTCGTTTACAGTCCCGTCCTTGATCTAGACAGGTAACAAAACCCTCCTCCTACTCAGTCCTCAGGATGTTGCTTGGATTGCAAGTCAAGTTGTGTTTTAATTTGTTCTTTGTTTTGAGGCAGATGGGCTATCCCAGCCGGTGTCATGGTAGCTCTGTTCATACTATATTGGCGGTGTTACGGAAGAAGCAAACACGGGTCCGGATGGATCTTACCATTGTACAATACCAAAAAAGGCGGGTCGAATCGGCCGAGATCGGACTAAAGAAAAGAGATGGCATGCTTGATATATACTTCGTCTCGGGCAAGAATGTTTTTGTACATAAAGCCCGGCCGGCCTAGCAGCTCTTTTGGAGCTGAAATGTCAGATTCGTTTCACTCTCCAATCGTGAAGAGGTGAAGGATCAAAAGGACTGCTCGTATAGGTCTAACTGTAACAATTCCAAATTGTTTGTATTGCAGTTATTTTTTTAATTAATTATTTTAAAGTCATTTATGTTTAATTAGCCATTTAAAACTGGAATTTGTTAAAAAAAAAAAAAAAAAAAAAGCTAGAATTGTATAACACTAATGTTTCAAAACGAAATAAGCAAAGCTAAAAACAGAATGAAAATGTTCACTTCAGAGGGGTATTATTTTATTAAAAAAGCTGGACTTGTATAACACTGTAATGTTTCAAAACGAAATAAGCAAAGCTAAAAACAGAATGAAAATGTTCACTTCAGAGGGGTATTATTTTATTTTATTTTATTTTCTAGTGCTTTCAGTTCTTATTTTATTGTTGATTTATTGTTGATGATAGCTGGTGAACTGAAAGAACCAGCAAAATAAAATAAAATAAGAACTGAGAGCACTAGGAAAATAAAATAAGAACTGAAAGTGTTATACTCGTTTTGTTTTTGTACTCTTACTTTAATTTGTTTGTACTTTATACATATCACATGCATATATGATTTCGTCACTTTTCAAGTATGGTGTCAACATGCTTTGGTTTCAATGTCAACATGAATATCCGAGTTAGAGTGTGTCGCTCTTCGAAAAACCCATCCTTCCCAAATGAAGTGCCCACATTTAGTCTTGGCCTAATTGGATTATTACTTATTGGCCGGATAAATGATTCATGTGGTCATAAGGTATTCGGAAGATAGTCTTTGTGCTAAAAAAAAAATCAGATTTAAACCCCTGTAGAGTACTCCGTTAGCAAATTTAGTCCAAAAGTGATTTTTCCATTAACTATCTGTTAATGCATAGGTAAAATTGTACTTTGACATGTGCACTCTTCCTCATCTTTTTGCTCTCTCTGTAATTTGAATTTTCACAAAACCAGTTCTGAGAAAGCTGTCATTGAGATCGGCAAGAAGCTTCAAGACAGTCCTCTCGTTGCTTTCTACAAACAACAAGAAAGTTGTCACTAAGGTCTCCAAGTTTGCTTCGGGCTCATTGCAGCTTCAGAATGAACATGTGGAAGAAGGTGAAGCTGTTGATGATGGCGGTGGTCACATGCCAAGAATAATGGATGAGGTTCGCAGTTTCTTCACTGAGATTTCGGTGATGCCGGACTGCTTAGCCGACTTTCCTACGACGCTTGACCATGGTAAAGTTGCTGAATTTCACTTCAAATTGAATGCAATGTTGGTTTGGCCTATTTTCTTTGTGCCTGTTGCTTTAATTTTCTAATGAAGTTGTGGAGAATTGAAAAGAAATCACGTTTCTGGGAGGAAGCTTTGATTTGTTTTGAAGAAATCGAAATTTATTCAAAATCTGTTATGATGATTTTCGTTCGGTTCGATTTTGTGTTCTACTTTTGTAATGGTAGATACCGGAGTTGGAATCAGAGACCTCTTAATCTGTTTGTGATTGCGATACAACGATTGACAAGATAATTTGAAACAAACTGACATGACATTTGTGTTGGCAAGTTTATGCTGATTGAATTTGATTCAGACATGGTGTTGTACAAATACAAATTACAGACCTTCTTCTTATCCATACTTCTCGGATATGGTGTTGTGAAAGTACAAATTACAGACCTTGTTCTTATACATTGGACAATATAAAGACGAGGAAGAAGAAGGTGTACAAGTCAAAGTACAATTTTACCCATGTATTAACAAATAGTTAACTGAAAAATCACTTTTGAACTAAATTTGCTAACGAAATACACCAGAAGGGTTTAAATCTAAGTTTTTTTAGCACATGAACTATGTTCTGAATACCTTATGACCACATGGATCATTTATTCGATTTGGCCTTACTTATTAGTCCCCATTGTGATAAGGTAGTTGGAATATAGCTCATGTGGTAAAAAACTTCAGATTTAAGCCCCTGTGGTTAGGACGGTTAGGATTTAGACCTAAAATTAAAAATTCTGTTATCTCTTCGTTAATTATTAGCACGTGAGCCACACATATGAGGCTAAAACGGGACTCTCCATCGAGAGAACAAGTGCGAATTAATCAACGTTACTTAGCTAGATCGATGGATATAGTTTAGGGAACTTTAACGAAAAACTCATAGTACTGTTCACTTTAACGAAAAACTACATTTTTACACTAAAAAGTCAATCATAGTACTATTCACTTTACCCTTTATTTTGTCCTTATCGTTAAAACCCAAAGTTTTCAAATCATTTTCATTAATTTTCCTTGTAGTTTAGTTTTGTTAACATAATTTTGTTATTTAGCCAACGGACAATTATATGTTCCCAATTTGTCTCCCTATTTGTCTCCCTTATCAGTTCATATATCTGTCTCTCATATGAAGGTCATTTCTTATTGGTTTACCCACTTTTCCATTGAGTCAAAAACACAAATTCTGTTTCTCCATTTTTTTTCTTTTCTCCGTGGATCCTGTAGAGCACTTTTAATGTGACATTGTGGTTGGTAGGCTAGGTTATCAACCGGTGGTTTTTGCATGTACTTTCAGACCCATCACTTTAAACATATTGGAACTTAGTCTGTTTGCCTTACGTGCATTGAGCACCACCACCACCTTGCAAGCCACCTTTCATTTATTCCACCACCAGTGCAACCCCATTTAATCCATCTCCATCCATTAACTTAAATTAGAACTCAAACCCTAGCTAACCTCTTACACCTCTGCACCCCATCTCTCCTTACCTCTTGAACACACCCCCGTACATCGATCTTTCTCTCCTTACCTCTCGAACATGCCCCGTACATCTCTCTCCTGTAACCAGCTCCAGTATGGCCACCATCACCCAAATAGAGACTGACGACGAAGATGAGTACAAGGACAAAAATGGACGACGATACATTTTGGAATGAGTGGCATTGGTAACATTCCTTTTCCATTGGGGTAAAATATTTCAAATTGGGTAATTAGGACTTTGATAATCAGGTTTTATTTTGTTCAGGTAATTAGGGCTCTGATAATCAGGTTTTGTTTTGTTCGGGTAATTAGGGCTCTGATAATCAGGTTTTGTTTGTTTTCAGGAATCTAATTTGGACTTGAGCTTCATAGATGCACCTTCGCATTTAGAAGACCAGATCCTGCCATACGAGCTGTGGCAGTTTATAAAGAGATATATTGCTTCAAATGACAAACTGGCAAGCTGTTACTACTTGTGCTAGTACTCTGCAAAAAATTAATTCTAAGAAGGTACTGCATTTGTGCTATGAACTGAACGCGCCCTGCTGTTGTGAACTAAACCCTAAAACCTATGAAACCTTGTTCGGAGGGAGACACCAACTGAGCCCTAATTACCCGAACAAAATCTGTTCCTAATTACCCGAACAGAACCTGATTAATAGAGTACTAATTATTTTTGTATCAATTTTTTAAAACACTATATTTAATGTTCACTTGCAGCCGACTGTTGGGCAAACAACGGCTGTGGAATGTGTTGAAGCACTCTACTTTAAAGAAAAGGGAGTCTGAGTTGAGCTATCTGTTGAACACGTTGTGGATAGGGCTTGGAGGCCAAAGCCGAAAGAGGAGCTTTCATTTGAGGAGGAGGGCGGCTACATATACGATGCTTTCGATTTTATCATGGAGCACGGTGTTGCACTGGAGCGCGATTGACCATACAATAAACCTCCAATCAATGTAAGCTAGCTAGCAATCCAGTACTTGTATTATAATACTTTTGAAATCAAAGAAGATTTTGAGTTAACAAAACTGTATTTCATTAATTGATTAACATGAATACAATGCTAACTAAATCAACACACTACACTGATCACAAATACTAATATCTCTAACACTCATGGAATAATCTAAGCCAACCTCTTTAGATGGCAGTGTCATAAGGAGCGCGATTGGATTAAATATTTTCAAGCTAGACACATAATCAATCTAATAAAAACATAACAAACACATCGAAAATACATATCAAATTCCAAAACAAAAAAAATCATAGCAACAGAGAAACTTGAAGTTAAAGGCTATCAACGTTGCTGCTGGCGTCAAATCGGTTGAAAACAATGTCGGGGGTTGATGAGAATTTTATCGAAGTTCAAAATCAAAGTTTGAGAAAGACGAATTGGGGTTTTACGGTTGGAATTTCGCCAAACTACATTTTTCTGCCTTTAAAATTTTCACCTTTTTTTGTGGGTCTATGTGTGCATTTTTCATCATATTTTTATGAGTAATACTAGAAGATAATTCGGAGGTAAAATTTGAAAATTAAATGATATGTCATTAATAAGAAATAAGCACATTTATCAACCTTTTATCTAATTATCAACCTTCATATAATTTAATTTACAAATTTAACCACTCTAACATTTCTTTTTTTTTTTTTTTTAATTTTTGTTTCCTTTATTCTTTTACAATTTCATCACCCCATCTATTATTATTATTTTTTCAATATAAAAATTAATCCAACCTTACGCCGGCAATAGAAAAAAAAGAGGGAAAGTAAAATAAAAAATAGTGACACCATATATTTTCACGTTTTCGCACATTTTTTGAGATACTCCAACCATTAAAGAAAAAAAGAGAAGTTAAAACTAAATAAATGCGAAAATGACAAAAAAAAAAAAAAAAAAAAAAGAAGAGAAAATTACCTCGAGTTCGCCTTTTTCATGCTTCATGCCCTTATTTCCCTATATATCAAGAAGACGTGCGTGATTAGCGAGAAACACAAAAACCAAAAAGGATAATAATAGGGAAATCAAATTCGTTAATTAAATTTACAAACCAAATGATGTGGGTGTTGATGATTGAATTATTATATAAGCTGATTAACATGTTTATTTCCTATTAGTGACACATCTTTTGGTTTACAAATTTAATTTAAAATTTTGGTTATCCTTAGTATTATTGAATAAAAAATAAAGAAATTAACACCATAACTCAGCTACGTTACCAAGAAACACCCAGAAAATCAAAATCAAGAAATTAACACCATAACTCAGCTACGTACTTCTGTCTTGGCCATCTTGTCCTGGTCGTGGTCGACCTTTGCCGGGGATGGAAACAATTAAATAGTGTGAGTGGCGGGAAGTGCAGAGTAACTGTTTAGTTCTTGTGTTTTTTATGTGCTCGTTGTTAGAATGTAAAATTTGAGTGTATGAATTCGATGGATTATTATCAAGTTGAGATTTTGACTCAGAAAGAACAATCACCATTGAAATCTAAGAAAATTTAGAGAGAATTTTAGAAAGAGGTTTTTTTTTCTTTTCTGTGTAATAGCTTCTTCGATTACATCACTCACAAAGTGTGAGGGAATATTACTGTTAGAGAGAGAAGCTCTCTCACTCTCTCTCTCATACATCATTACATAACTTGATCTCAACCATCCATCCATAACTAATTGCTTAAGATCATTACACTTGTCATGAAATATGACTCAATACAATCTATCTAACATAGCAGAGGTGTTGCTTCAACTTGTTCTTCTCCAAAGTCATCTAGTACAAACCTTAGCTAAATTGCCTATGCCATGGCTTCTGCAACACTCGCATACTCTGCTTCTGCAGTGGACAAGGCTACACTGCATTGCTTCATAGAGGTCCAAGAAAATATCCCTGAACCAAAGCTAAATGCATATCCAGATGTACACCTCATGTCATCTTCACTCCTTGCCTAATCATTATCACAAAAGCCAATTAACTTAGCTACTTTGCCTTTGACATACTCAATTCCATAGTCCAAAGTCCCTTGTACATATCTCAAGACTCTCGTGGCAGTTCCCAAGTGTTTTCTAGTTGGACTATGCAAGAATCGAGCTAGTAAACAAGTTGCATACATCAAGTCAGGTCTTGTAGTTGTTAAGTACAACAAACTACCAACAATCTTTCTATATAGACCCTCATCTGTACTTTCACTACCATCAATCTTACTCAATTTCTCATTCACTACCAAAGGTGTGATAACTGCCTTGCAATCTTTCAACCCAAACTTTTCAAGCAATGTTTTGGCATACTTCTTTTGATGTATGAATATTCCTTTCTTAGTTTGAACAATCCCCAAACCAAGAAAATGGTGCAATAGACCTAAATCAGACATTTCATAATGATTCATCATTTCCATTTTGAACTCTTGCATCATAGTTTTTGAGCTTCCAGTGTAGATAATGTCATCTACATATAAAGATACAATGAGAATACCTTCATCACTGGTCTTAATGTATAATGTAGCCTTAATTGGACTATTTTCAAAACCAGCTTTACTGAAATAATTGTCAATTTCATCATACCAAGCCTTAGGGGCTTCTTTTAGACCATATAATGCCTTCTTCAACTTGTACACTTTATCTTCTTGTCATTTCAAAACAAATCCTAATGGCTGATCAACATATACTTCTTTATGTAAATCCCATTAAGGAAAACAGACTTGACATCCAATTAGAACAACTTCCATTCCTTTTGAGTTGCCAAGGCAATCAAGGTCCTAATGGTGTTTAACCTTGCCACTAGTGTAAAGGTTTCACTGAAGTCAACTCCTGGCTTATGGGAATAGCCTTTGGCTACCAATATAGCATTGTTCTTTTGCACCGAATCATCTAGATTCAATTTAGTCTTATAAACTCACTTGACAACAATGATTGGTTTATCAACTAACTCCTAGGTAGAGTTTTTCTCAATCATTTCTTTCTCAGTAGACATTGCTACATCTTCAAAAGACTCAGGCTCAACTATGCACAAATTGCATCTCTCATATACTTCATTTAAACTCTTGAATCTCAGAGGTGTATGATCAAATTCTTGTGGACCTGTGTAAGCAGCTTGCGAAGATGGAGTAATAGAATCAACATTTAGTTGATCATTTTGATCTTGTTACTTGTGCTTCTTGCATCACAGTGTATACTTTGATCTTCATAATTTCCAAAGATATTCACATGCTTCATAGCCTTAGAGTTTCAATTCCAACTAGCATATTCATTGTATATGACATCCCTGGAGACAATCAGAGTCTCAGTTTCAAGATTATAGAGCCTATAGCCCTTTTCACAAATTCCATATCCTAGAAAAATACATTTAAAACTAGTTACATCTAGCCTCTGTCTTAATTGGCTTGGAACTTAAGCATAACATAGACATCCAAACACCCTTAGATGCTTGATCCCTGGCCTTCTCATACTGAAGGCTTCAAATAGAGTCTTTCTATTCAATGCATTGGTTGGATTTCTGTTGAGAATATAGGCTGCAGTGTTGATTGCTTCTGCCCAGAATTCAAGTGGAATACCCTTCTCAAATAACATACATTTTGCCATTTCCTCCAAGTTCTATTCTTTCCCTTTGCCACCCTATTTTGTTGAGGTGAGTATGCAACAGTGAGTTGCCTCTCTAGTCCAAGAGTTTCACAGAATTCAGTAAATTTAAAGGAGGTGTATTCACCCCTTCTATCACTTAGCAGTCTTTTCAGCTTGTATCCACTTTGCAACTCAGCAGTGGCTTTGAACACACTAAAAGTCTCAGATTTATTTCTTAGAAAATAGATTCATCTCATTGTAGTGCAGTCATCAATAAAGGTGAGAAAGTATCTGTTCCCAACCTTGGTTGGTGTTTGCATTGGACCACATATATCTGAATGGACTAATTCTAGTGGTAGTGAAGCTCTCCAATTGGTTATGCTTGGAAATGAATCTCTGCAATGCTTCCCAAAAACACAACCTTCACAAATTGCATTCTTCAACTCTGGCATACCAACTACCATATATTGTTCCTGCAATAACTTCAAAACATTCATGTTTTAATGCCCCATCCTCTTATGCCATAACTCAGTAGATTGGCAAATACTAGTTTTCATTGCCATTTGCATTCATGGTTGAAGTTTAAGTGGGAAACATTTATTACCTTTCATAGGTACCTTCACAATAAGATTAGTGCATGTGTAGTCGTCATAGATACATACATTAGTCCCCCCAAACACCAAGTAATGACCACTCTCTATCATCTACCTCACACTTAACAAATTCTCTTTCAATCCAAGAACCAACATAACCTCCTTAATGTATCTTTTGCCTTGCTTGGTCTCAACCAACAAATGTCCCTTTCTAGTTACATCAACAAGTTGCCCTGTGCCCATTTCTACCTTCGCAGTTATGCTCTTGTCAATGTCAACTAACAAGTCTTCTTTCCCTGTCATGTGGTTACTACAACCACTATCAATATACTATATATCTTCACATCTTTGCACAATAGCATTATTACATGAAAGAACATTGTGGGAGTTTATTCAATCTGATTTGCAAAGTTCACATGCTGGTTTCCCTTATCCTTCTTACCATTACAGTCCTTAGCAATGTGATCCAACTTCTTGCAATTATGACATCTAGGTTTATTCTTGAACCAACATTCACCAAAGTGAAGCTTATCACAATACTTACAAGAGTTCTTAGCTCCATCAGAGGTTCCACCAGCTTTTCCAGCTTGATTAGTAGGCTTATTAACCCATTTTTTGCCTTTTGACTTCCAATTCTTTTGAGGCTTGAAGTTTTGATTCCCATTATACCTATTATCCGTAGGAGCCACATTTAAACTAGCAAAAGCCTTCTCAGTTTGATTGTCAACATGCCTATCAATTCTTTGTTCATACCCCTTTAGAATAGCTACCACATCTTGAGCATTAACTATCTCTAGATCTTTAGTATTCTCAATCACAGGGGCTATACTATCATAAGATCTAGGTAAGCTTATCAACAGTTTCTGAACAATTCTTTGATTACCAATATCTTCACCATAGCTTCTCATTTGACTGATTAAATCAAACAACCTAACTAGATATGTAGAGAAAGATTCATTTTCGCCCATTCTAGTGTATTCAAAGTCACGGTGTAAGCCTTGGAGTTTCATAGACCTCACATGTTTATCTCCTACTAACTCTTGTTTTAACACATTCCATGCTGCATTTGCAGTTTCTTAGATGGCGATTCTCGAAAATATTTGATCGGAAACCGCCCCCTGAATAATGCCAAGCACCTTTGCATCTTTGACAATGTTTTCTTGCAATAGCTTGTTCTCTGTTGCAGTGAGATCCTCCTCCTTCTTCATTGGAGTAGCAAAACCCTTCTTGACTATATCCCAGAGTTCGTGTGACCGGAATATCCTCTTCATCCTGATTTGTCAAAAATCGAAGTTGTCTCCATTGAACACCGGTGCTCAAAGATCAGCACTGCTCGATCTAGCTATATGAGACTTGTAATCGAGTTTCATAGAGATTTTCTCCCTTCAAATTTGCAGCAGCAAAGCTCGATTTAACTCGAGTTCTTCACTACCCAGAATCACAGATTCATGCCCATTTTCAGATGATCTAACATTGCTCTGAGGCCATGTTAGAACGTAAAATTTAAGTGTATGAATTCAATGGATTATTATCAAGCTGAGATTATGACTCAGAAAGAACAATCACCATTGAAATCCAAGAAAATTTAGAGAGAATTTTAGAGAGAGGTTTTTTTTTTTTTTTTTTTTTTTTTTTTTTTTTTTTTTTTTTTTTGTGTAATAGCTTCTTCGATTACATCACTTACAAAGTGTGAGGGAATATTACTGTTAGAACGAGGAGCTCTCTCTCATACATCATTACATAACTTGATCTCAGCCATCCATCCATAACTAAGTGCTTAAGATCATTACACTGGTCATGATTTATGACTCAATACAATCTAATCTAAGATGCCAACTAGACTATGATCTAATGGCTTAGATTAATTCACCCCATAAATCAGCTAATACATTTATAAATCAACACTTGTTATTTTTCTCTTTCGTTAGGGGTATTTATGAACCTAATAGAGGGTTGGGGTTGCAGCAAAACTCGACACACAGAAAGCTAGACAAACAATGGAATTCTCTGGAAAAGTAAGACATGTTATGAAACTGGTTGTTGCAGTGATATGGACTATAGTTCTTCCTGTTTATTTTGGAAATTCTAGAAGAAAACATACTTGTTATTATGCACGATATGGAAGCTGGCTTCAGGGTCCTATATGGTTGCAGTTGCAATTTATTGGACGACTAACGCCGTTGAGATGGTGCTGTTTTTGGTTCCTTTATTCGGCAAATACACCAAGATCTCAATGTACCTGATATGCACCATTTTTTAGCCCACATTACTTCCTCCTCTCTTAAAACTTGGGACGTTCATTATAGTTCCGAGCTTCAGTTTGTAAATCACTGCTGTTATTACCAGTGGCAGTAGTACTCATAATACTCTCTTGGACGTTACTGAGTTCGTTAAACAATTTGGTTTTTCGCTCCTTAATGTTACCAAAAGGCGAGTAGTTCCATCTTTTCACCAGGAACTTAAAAGTATCTGCACACGCTCTGAAGTGATCCATAGGATTAAGAACACCCTTGCACTTCCAAGCATTGTTAAATACCTTAGAAGCTTCATCTATACAACCAAATCTACAATACATAATGGTCACAAAATTTCCTAAAAAGACATCATAGTTAAATCCCTTATGAGAAACACCCGTGCATCCGAATCCCTTCTCGATATCTATCAAAACTTCCACAAGCTTGATGTTGAAATATCTCATATCGATCGTATCTTTGTGAAAATAAGAGTTTAAATATCCTAATCCACTCCAACTAATGCCGTAACCTTTTGTGATAAAGCCTCACACCTAACGAATTGTCCAAGTGGTAATTAACAAGTTGAGGACAATATCAGTGTTGGTGGAAATGAGCTTTCGACCCGTCTCTCTGATAATCCTACACTTGGAACATTACAGCCTCCACTATCCCTTTCGTACTCATGTCCAAGAACAATTCAAAACACGCTTTGAAAATTCCCATCTTCATATACCAATCAATCATTGCTGTCCAAGTAACCACATTCCTCTCCAGCATCTGATCAAACAATTTCTAGCATCCGCAATCCTTCCCATTTTGCAGTACCCATCAACCATGCAGCTCTGAGAAACCACGTTGCTATTAATTACCATACCCTCAAAAACTCGAACTGTATTATCAGTTCTTCCAACCTTCATATACCCATTTATCAAAACATTTGTACAAACCCGTTCCCGCCACCTAACTGGCATCTCACAGTAAAGCCTCTCAGCCTTGTCAAAACATCCCCGCCTTTCCAAAACCCGTGATCATGGCACCATAAGACACCTCATTGTGCTCCAGACTCCAGTATCCCAGAAACAAACTCAAAAGCATCATATACCGTACATTGATTTCTAATATAAGCCTGATCATCGCATTATACGATGCTAAGTTTGGTTGGGGAAGTTCGTCGAACAGTTTACGTGATTTGGAAGTTTGGCCAATTTTGGCATCTGCAGTGAGCATAGCAGTCCAGGAAATAGTGTTCTTCCGTTTTGGGTTATGTGGGAATTGCACTAAACAAGAAAGCTGCTGGCTTTTCTGCTTTTGGACACTCTTGGGGTTTACAACAAGCTTGACTGGGCAAAAATGAGCAGTGAATCTTATGACGAGAAAAGCTATAGTTGGGAAAGTCCAGCTATAGTTGGGAAAGTCCTTCTGGAAAAAGCTGGTTTTGAGTTTCGTAGGCATGATTTGAGTTGGCACAACACATGATCTCAATTAGCAAACTTGTATTTTTAATCTGATGGGCAAAAATCCATGTTAATCAACTTGAACTAGTTGCCTGGCCTCAATAGCCCAACTCTTGTTTTGATGGGCATGGTGGCATTTTCTTAGACCCAACGAGAGGAATAGGCTTAAAAACCCTGACCCGATTTGGATGAGAATTGGGTTAGGGTTGTGAATTGGCTTGGCACTGCTAGACCGAGCTTAGCTCATAATGGAAATAAACAAAATCTTTGGTATTGACATGTTTGGCTTCTAAAGTACGTGAAATTTCAGTAGAAACGAAAGAAAATAAGGGATTCCATATTAATCTTCGTCTAAAATTAAGGTCAATTGAAGATGGTCAATTTTTATTTTAGAAAAAAACCTCGACGATACGAGATAAATTTTATTTATAAAAAAGATAGTTAATCTAAATTTAGAACAAACGTAAACATGAGTCTTCGAAAGAAAAATCTCAAGTATGATCTTTTGTACAATAATTTTTGTTTGAATATAAAATAATTCAACTTGTCTCATGAAAGAATACGCTCACAAATTTCAAGAGTCAAGCATACCGACTTATTAAACTTTTCTTGTTCCTTTCAAATGTCAAGCTTCAACTAACCAATTTACAGCCCTTAGCTTTAGCACTAAGAACCCCTTATATACTTATTTTTATATATCCAAAATTTTACGATTTTTTTTTTGTCAAATGAACTCACGTCGTGGTACAAGGGTAACACTTCTCTCTATTAATGTAGTAGAGGACCCCTTGAAAGAGAAATTTTACGATTTAATAATTCTTTTGTTCTTTCTAATATCGAAATCCAAATGCATCCCACCAGGCTATCCTTATCCTATCATGCTTCTAACCCAATTTTTAACTCCTCCATTCTCTCAACATAATTTTGGAACGCATGCATGCACATAAACAGGTACATGTGTATTGGGTTTAGTAATTATCTAACCAATTGTTGCTTTTTAGGTGGCCGATTAATCAAATAGTTTTACTTCCATAGTTCCATTGCACTGATTTAGCATGATATTACTACTACTATTCATTCCCCTTAGTCTCCTAATTTGTTCTTTGCTTTTTAATTTTTCGGGTGAAAGAGTGAATGATATATCAAGGTCGGTTGACATTTGCTGAAATTTTTTAGAGAAAATTAGGTTGACATCCTTCTTTTTGTTACTCCATTGATTAAAATCTTGTGGGAATATTAGAATCCCCTGCACTTTTCTAATACTCTTTAGATTAAACATTGGTTATATTTTGAAATTTGATAAGGACGCCTAAACCATAGCTATGTCAGCATTTTTATATTTATTTAGATTACATGTAATTATTGTGTTTTTTCAATTTAAAATGTTAATTATTAAATTCCATATATATCCTTTTAGGTTGATATATTTCTGTACGTGGCCTTTTTTTTTTTAGGATGCCAATTTCTTCTCCCACGTTAGAATGCTATGATCCTCATTTTTGAATTTTGAATGGACTTATCCATTTCAATTAGTGGTTGTTTTCACTATTTTATATTGATATCATGTGAGATAATTAGATGAATTATCTATTTTCAGAGGCTTGAGGTTGGTACGTTTAGATAATATATTTAAACGTGCCGAATATGTGCCAAGAAGATATATACAACAATGTACCAAATATGTTTTTTTTAAATAAATATAAACGTACCAAAATAATATATAAATGTACCAAATGCATACAAAAAAAATATGAACGTACCAAATACGTACCAAGAAGATATATAAAGTAACGTACCAAATCTGTACCAAGGAGAAATATATGTTTAATCAAGAGGAAATATATGTACCAAATATGTTTTTTTTTTTAAATAAAATAAATATAAACATATCAAATACATACAAAAAAGAAAACAAACATACCAAATATGTACCAAGAAGATATATTAAGTAACGTATCAAATATGTACCAAGAAGAAATCAACGTTTCATGTGTAATTTGAAAGACTTTTTATTAAAATTGAATACTACAATATTTATCTACAAGATCTAAGGAGTTTTGAGATATTATCTAAGAAAATTAAAAGTTATATTAAATATAATGGCAAGTCGCATTTTTGTGTATTTTGAAAGACTTTTTTTATTGGAATTAAATTCTACAATATTTATCAACAAGATTTTAGGAGTTTTGATGTATTATCTAGGAATTAAAAGATATATTT